AACTTAAAAGAATTCCAGTAATGCTACAGATTTACAAAGCCATATATGATGTAACAAAGACATTAATGGTTTGAGAAGGTTGTAGTATGGAGGCTTGTGTATTTGCAGAAAGTATTTTCAAATTGCAGAACAAAATTTTGACTCTTCTGCAATATTACAGAGCACTGAAAAAAAGGATTTTGACCACTGCTATAGTATATTCTAACTTGTAACGAGAAGACAAATTAGCTTTGGATACATTGCTGTACCTCTGCATCACTACTGAAAAGCATATTGACAACTGAGAAACTCTGTAGTAAGAACCTGCAGTACACATGTTCACCTCTAGGTGGCATTGCAGTTAGGGACATACTGCATTATAACAGTGGAAATGCAAATTATGCTGCTATATCCTGCAGTATGGATATTTGCCTCTAGGTGGCACTGCTGTATACAGCACATAAAAACTTCAATGCAGATTCTACATCAGATATCTTTTGTTTGAGGCAACCTTTCTATTGTAGGTGAATGTCATTCAGTTCTAGGCATTACATGCAAAGGTCCACACACCTTTTAATAGTCTCTGACAGGAAGTTACATAAAGCTAAAGGGTCCCGGAAAAGTTTATCTCTTTCAAGCTCTATGCAAGTCTGTTGACTTATTGAAGCTTAAGTGGGAAGTGTAATTCAAAAAAACTAAACATTCAAGTAATTCACAAAGAAATGAGAGCTTCAATATTATTTGTCCCTGGTATTTGAATGACATTCAGTCCTTGACAATACAACGGAGCAAACCCTTTTTAATACCCTCACCTGGCACTTTATTGCCTTGTACGGAACTTTTGTTTTCATTGTATCTCTTTGTGTATTTGCTTGTGTTTCTGTTGTTATTTTAAAAATAGGCATGTCGAGTGTACTGATAGAAAGTTAGATTAAAGGTCCCAAAAAAGGTTCTCATGTCCTGTTTTCAAATCCTGCTACAATGTCTGTTACCTTATGGTGAAAATGCAACAATAGGGGCTGCACGAGCAACCTCCATGGAGGAGCTCTGCAGAGCTCCTCCATGGAGGTTGCTCG